TGGTATGTGTGTGTGTGTGTGTGGAATTGAGACAAGGCTCTCAATTTATAGGAAATAAGCTTGGTCTTAGCTTAATGACTAAGGAAGCATAAATATCTAGATATTTTTTTATTTTGTTTTTCAATCAATTTTCCACCAAAATATTATTTGTGGCACCTATGTACATAATCAAATAAATAATATTCGATTCAAATAAATAATAAATATTCAAATAAATAATATTCTATTCAAATATATAATAAATAAAAGAACAACAAAAAAAAAATAAAAATAAAAATAAAATGTATGAATTAATTTTTAAACTAAGAGGTGGATTCAAAGATTCAAGACTTCAACACCAGCTGAAGCAGAGATGAGGGCTATGAATGTCCTTGAAAAACAACAAATGGTGATTTAGTAAGTGGTCTAAGTTGTAGAAAAAACATAAAAATGTCTACTTGCACATTTTTTGTAATCAAGACAATCAATATGATAACCGAAATTATTATTTTTCTTGAATGTTATAAGGAGAATTTTAAAGGATATATATAGTATCTATTTTTTTTTTCTTTAGAATGCTTTGGTACCTTAGCTATCATGTATGACAAATAGGCCAGAAGCATCATGATTGCAACTTCACGATCTGTGGAATGTCTATTAAGAAAGAACAATGATGTCAACATAAAAATCAAACAATACTAGAAACTGCTACAGGCAAATGATGTCAACATAAAAATCAAACAACATAAAAATTCAAAATCCAAAATTCAGTAATGTATACTCAAAAAGCAACCTAGTTACGGGCAAATGAACTATATATTTTAGCATCTCAGTTGATAATTGGTTAGCAATTGCTATTATTGTTGCTTGTTGGTTGACATCCACATAAAAGAAGCTCTGCACAAAAAGGAAGGGATAGGTAATGAACCTCAATCCACGATGTCAGCATAGGTCTTCCTGTAGTGATGTCATATTTCTTTACATCTAGCAATAAGGGATAAAATCTTTTTATGAATGGAGCATATGCTATGTCGACCTGCAACATAGAAATTTTGACACAGATTAGGGGTTCCATTACAATTTACAAATTGACTATATATTCACCAACTTCTTGGAAAGTATATATTCGTTCGCACTTCTTTGACTACAATGCATAACACAACTGCATTTGTAGTTTAAGTAATACATAATAATTTTAAATATAAGAACAGTAAAGATGGAAAACAAATATCAAATTAGTAGAGTGCAACTAACTTACTAGACTGAACTAACCAAGGAAGAAAGGTCCATCAGTAAATTTGAAGAGAGCTGATTCGAGGTAATCAAAAGCAGTACCTGTCAAGGTTTATTAGAGCGGGTCACATTATGATTCATATAAAATGTTAAATTTCTTTCTAGATCGTAGTACTTCAAAAAAAAAAAAACATAGCACGTCTTGAATCTTACTGATTTCATTTTCAGATCCTCCCTTCAGTGAAGTGATCACGGCCAGATTAAAGGTGTTTGTGTAGGATAGCAACTCCTCAGCAAATTCTCACTAGGTGGGATCCTATAGACATTTGATACGCTCTAGAATTCAAATTTTTGAAGCGATAAAGAGTTGAATTTAGTGAAAAATCTACTTACATCAATGTAAAGAGCCGATCCTTCAAAGTAGCTATCAATATATTTTAGCAAATCAAGACTCTCTCCTCAAATTTCATTATTGTGCTCCAGTGATGGCACCTACTAATTTTGAAAAGGAAAAAAGAAAAGAACCTGCAAATATCATAATCCATGAAACAAGAGGGCTCTCAACAGATTTTGTGATTTTTTCCTCATTTGATAGATATAAATTTCTGCAATTTTAAGAAGAGAACGAGGAACACAGAAATTACCAAACAGTATTTTCCAAACAATTTAATTATGGTTGAGAATGTAACCTTATTTGGTGGGTAGACTTTTTCCTTGTACCGATCTAGCCTATTTTGAAGATCAATAGGAACTAATTTGATCTTCTCTTGCAGACCCTGCACAAAGAAGTAAAGAAATTTCAAATCGAGAATTGCAGTAACATGAATAAAAGAAAAAAGAAAAGAAATAGTAGAGCAGAAAAATTATCCATAAAATTTAACACAACCCGTAATTCCGTGAAATCCAAACATGCTGCGCATACGGACAAATGTAGGAGGTGTACAACCTTCAGGAAATAAAAATGGAACACGGTGATCAGAAAATGCATGAGAACGCGCAAAAACACACACAAACGTGAAACACACACACACATGTATTCTGCTAATTTGATAACCAAATCATTTGCTTCATCTGTCTTGATGTTTTAGCACACAAAATTCCACCACGAATATATTCTGCTAAAATGTAGGCTAAATTTTAATCCACTCACAAATGTATGTGTCATATAAAGCTGTTCTATACATAACTAGAAAAGGATGTACCCAATGCACAAGCACCCACTTTGCAGCAGGGTCTAGAGTGATAATAAATCACACACACTTAAGATGGAAAAGAAGAACAAATGCACATGAATGATAAATCACACACAGACACAAAGAACACAAACGTCACCCCCAAAACTAGGTTATGTCCACGACTGTTGTCATTTCATTGATAATGTCTCCTCTTGACTATATATTCTTTAAAAATTAAGACAATAGGTCATAAGTGCGGAAATAATAATAATAACCATCTTCCAAATTTATGGTTGAAATTCGCAATTGAATGGTTAGTGTCTATTAGTTATAGGATTCACACTACCCAACAAATTATACAAACTAATGGTGAGATGCATTTATAATTTTATATTTACATTCTCGGATAGTTTGATGAAAGAGAAAAATTAATTAGCACATTTTCTGACGATTTGATGAACAGAGTTATTAGATGTGACAATTACTAGATTGAAAAGAAATTATTCAAAAAGAAAAAGCGTGACAGCATTCACACCTGAATAGCATCCCTACAAAAAGAAAAAACAAATGATTAGAACCAAGAACCAACTCACAATAGCATCCCTATAAAAGATGAGTAATAAGACAATAAGACAACAGTATTGTTCCACATTGTTCCAACCACCTACATGAAGACAAATTGATCCAAATGAAGACAAATTTTGAATTCCAAGGAACAAAAGTAAAAACCAGAAATCTTCCACTGCAGAGAAAATATATGAGCTACCACCACAAATTACCACAAGTATAGCATACCAATATGTAACAGAATTCGAAACCAACTAAATAAAATTTACAGGGCAACAATCTCTAGATCAAAGAGAGATGGGCAGGCTGACAAAGCTGCACAAAGTGCTGCGTTATCCATTCTTTCAATATTGTAAAGGTGCAACCTCCTCAAAAGAACCCTTCAAATTCCAAGACAAATAAACAAAGTCAATATAATATATATATATATATATATATATATATATATATTATATGGCGAGAATTTCCCTGGGCATGGGCACATGCACCAATAAGGAATTTTAGATAAGCCCAAAAAAGCCCCATCGTGCTCATCCCTCGTTAGGTTTAACCCAATAAATAATACAAACCATATACAATTAGCCAATTCCACACTACCTCAGCTCGGGCTAGTGGAGTATGGCAAGCTAGGATTTAGGTTTAATATTAACTTGGAAACCTGTAAATTGAATTCAACCTGGCTGTCTGTCACCGTACTTCCACGTCAAGATGCTTTCCACAACAATGATGGAAAGGCCTAGCAGAATACGTCTTCTATTCTATTACCTCTTCCAGAACTATTTTGGTTATGTTGGGACTTTGAAGAATCAGTAGATAGTACATTAACTTGCCAAGAGAACTGGTTAAAGATTCAGGAAGTTGGTAAATGGGTAGCAATTGGTTGTCCAAGATCAATATGTTCAGGTAGCATAGCTTATGATGGGTTAGGTTTCTTGATACTTGCATCAAGTTGCGATACAGCTTAAAATCTTTATCACTAACATCTTTAGCCATTATTAAATTAAAAAAATAAAATGATCTTTAGCCTGCGTTTACATGCCCCACATAATTGAACCAATGCATTAGTTTCCAGAAAGCATTTGAACACACAAGTATAAAAGCTGACTATTATCAATCCTATAAAATGTAAATTAGGTCAGTTGCTGAAATTCTGAAGCACTCTTTATTTTAAGCAAGCATTATAAGGACTGCCAGAAACACAAGAACCACATCCAAATGCAATGTAACAATGCCTTATTTCAAACTTTCAATTGTCTTTAGATGAGCTAATACCCATACACAATCTATCATATTTGTTACAAACTAATTTCCGAGTCACTTTTCCATAAATGTACATAAAACATCTAACCATGTATAATTTTTAGAAGCACAATTTTATAGAACAAATTAAGCTTAATTGCATTAGAATAGTCAAGGAAACAAGAAAGAATTGAACTATTAGGATAATTTGATCGATTAAAACTAGAACAGCAGCTTACCTAATACGATTGGGTATGGCAACTTTAATTGTGAATAAGTGATCACCACGTATTGATGGTCTGTTTAACTTTGGTGCTCCTTTCTTTGCCAGTACAAGCACATCTCCAGGTTGGGTACCCGAAGGAATCTGTAGATCAGTAGTTCCTTCAACTGTCTTAACCTGTTTAAATGTCAAGCAACCAACAAATTGTTATTCAGTTGGAGAATCCAAGGAACTTTGCAAGAAATCTCCATTCAATGCCCCATCCTCTGAGCTTGCAGCGGTGACAAAGGAAGTACTGCACAGAAACCACTGAGTTTAGAGATGGAGAACAGGCGAAAAGAGTGAGTGAGAAAAGCCTCTTTGGAAGCTTGGTCGAGAGTGAAGCCACCTTGAAGTGTCTGTCTCGCTATCTTGGGTCCAGGGGGACTCTAAACTATGTGTTAGGCTTTGGCATTGAATACAAGCCTGTGGCTAAGATTCTCTTCCTTTTCTTTTAGGTCCAACTGGTGCACAAGCTTCTGGCTAAAATTCTCTTCCTTCAAATAATATGCTCTATGGGTTGTAGATATATTTAAGATTGTCAACTACTGTAGTGTTAACTCTAAAAATGGCCTCTATACTCTAGAACTCAAATTAGATAAATATGGCTTAGGGTGAAGACCAAAGAGTCAAACATTTAGAAGCATTTAAATTTTATTTTTTACTATACTAACAATGGTAAGATAGTAGTTTTACCTTAACAGTAGTGCCCAATATGGCATCTAGATAACTAATTGAAACAGATGAACATAGATTTATGCCATCTCTTTGGATCTCTGGAATCTCCTCAATATCAAGGTAGACATAAAGATCACCAGGAGGGCCCCTGCTGAAAAGACAAGAACAATTAGTGTTCCAAAGAATCTGAATCACGTCCATGAGTTTGATACCTTCTAAAGTGTTGTTATAACAGAACTCTTAAATGGAAAGTATGAGTTTTGTGTCAACCGAAAAAGGAAAATGGAAAGTATAATCTCAACATAGAGGAAAAAATGAAATTTTGAATAACCTTCATATGAGGACACATATATCCATATAAGAGAAGAAATAAGGACCCCCGCCTATTGATATTTTTTTTAATGACAATTATAGCCTCAATTAAAATTACTATAAAGGGCATAAATTAAAATGGAACACCCACCTTTAAAAAAACAACACCCATAATTGAACACCCAACCCTAACAAATCAAATTGAACGCTGACCTTCAAATCAAATTGAAAACCTGCCGATAAAAAAATAAAATTAAAAATCCAAAGCACATGATCTATCATTCTAATTTTCCATGTTGTCTAATCATCAAAGTTCCACAAAGACATTTCTTTGCTTGCACATTTGGAAAATGACAGTTTCTTTTCTTGATTCTTGCAAACTAGTCGAATTTTTTTTTTTTGGGGTTACCGATGTTAAGGCGTGTTGGTGGAAAGGTGATCATCAAAATATTGTGAACACAAAGTTGTGAAGTCTGTTGAAAATAAGAAAGCATATTGTAAAATCTCTGGTCTTGCTAAGGAAGTACTAGATTACATATTTAGTAATATGAACTTAATTTGAATAACTTTGCCCATATAATATGGGTAGCAACCCAAAATTTTTATTAGAAATATACCACAGAACCAATGACTGAAGCTTAAAGATACATATTGTAAAATTCAGCTCGGCAATTATACACAATTTTCTTTTGTAACACATCTATTCTAGAGCTCTACTCCATTGAAAAGTAAGCAGGCATCAGACATGCCTAGCCCTATGCCACCTTTACCCAAATTTTACTGTAAATTCCATCACATCATGCACATGTATTAACACGTATACCCAGTTAACTGCATCCAGACCTTAAGCTTCAGTTCAGTTTTTTTACACATTTCATTTCTTTGGTCAATTTACAGTGAAAACAACAATTTTGCAAGTTCCATTCCCATATTTATCAATCAAAATCGAGTATGTTTCTCAAATCTTAGCGTCTGCATCATATAGGAGGTAAGATTTGAATCAACTGATCAAAAGTCCCAAATTCAGAGACATCCAACAACAAAGCAAGAAACCATCCGTTGAATGCTCAAAAGCACATACCTCAAGATCTTGTATTTGAGTGAGAGAAAGAGAGAGCAACTAACCTCTGATCGAAGAAAACGAAGAGTTCCAAATCCATGGAGATAAATCACGGAGCTATGCTCAAAATCAAACTTTGAAATCGCAATCCGAGATGAATCACCAAACTGAAGAAAAATCGAAGAAGAATCACTGAACTAAAGAATAATCGAGAGAGATTTGAGTGAGAGAAAGAGAGAGGAACTAATCTCTGATTGAAGAAGACGAAGAGTTCCAAATCCACGGAGATGAATCACGAATCTATGCTCAAAATCAAACTTCGAAATCGCAATCCCGAGATGAATCACCGAACTGAAGAAGAATCGAAGAAGAATAACTAAACCGAAGAAGAATAGAGAGAGAGAGAGAGAGCAAGGAGTGAGTGAGAGATTTGAGTGAGTGAGAAGGAAACGGCGGTGCTCAAAATAGGGTTTTCAAAATATAAGTCTAAAGAGATAGAAGATGGTGTGAAGAGAGACAGGGAAGAGGGTGTGAAGAGAGACAGGGTTTGGAGGCGCTTTTTAAACGTCTTCTATTTACAAAACGGTGCTGTTTTACCTAACAACAAAGGCGACGTTTAAAAAATGCCGTTAATTATAAAAAAAAAAGTGACGTTTAATAAAATGTCGTTAATTAAACGCCGTTAAATCCTCATTTTCTTGTAGTGGCAGTAGAAAACTTTGGGAGATAAGTTTTCAAAAAATATTTTGGGAAGAGAGTTTAGAAATTTTTGTAGTTTGTTTGGTTGTATATTTTGAAAATAATTTTGGAGTTTGAGAGTTTGAGAGTTTGGAATGATTTGATATATTTTTGTAATTGAGTAGATGTATGTGAGAGAAAAAGTAATTGAAAAGGAGAGAGAAGAGAGAAAAAGTGATTGATTGATGTGTAGGAGAAAAAAAATGATTTTGAAAATTTTTTGAAAAAAATTACAAACCAAACAAAATTTTCAAAAATTTTCTCTAAAATCTTTTTCTCAAACCCAAACCAAACAAGGCCTATTCTTCATACCAGCCCACGATCTGTATATGTGACTTGTGGCTAGATCACTGTACCCTTTTATTTTACTTTATTTTTTAAAATTTTAATTTTGGAATATTTGTTTTATTTGTTGTTTACATGCAGGGGGTTGCAGTAGTAGGTGGAGAAGATAAACCATGGAGGAAGAGACGCTTAAAAGATTCTCATCTTCTATCAAGGAAGAGCTTGCTACACTATTATCTCATGATACATGGCCGCCTGATCCTGTAGATTTTCTGTTGCCGCCTGATCCTGATCCTACAGATTATCCGTGGCCTCGTCATGCTTAAGACTGTGCAAAATACTGTCTAATATGCTAAAATCGCACCGATCCACATCAATCTGCACCGCTCTAACCGCTAACCGCGGTTTAAACTTCAAAATTTATAATCCGCCAACCGAACCGCTCCGCTCCGCTATAGTTAATACATATATATTTTTTAACCTCCAATGAAATATTAATGTAAAAATAAGTGTGAGACGGATTTGAGCTATGAAATTTATTACAAATTAGTGGTTATACATATGAAACATATTATGTAAAATTACTTTGTGCTATATATCTAAAAAATATTACACAAATTAGTGTTATATATTATGTAAATATATGATAATTAGTTATAATATCCTTCAATCTGCCAATTCGCCAAAACCGCACTTTGTCAATCCGCTAATCTACCAACCCGCCATTCAATTTGTAATTTTATTCTCAAATCGCCCGAACCGCACTATGCACACCCCTAGTCATGTTATACATTTGCCGCCGAATTTTGTCTATGTTTCCGGGAAAAGGTTCCCGGATTTGTTTCCCAAACACAGAGTTGATGAGACAAGTGTAAAGAAAACAATAATGGATTTAATATTTCAAACAATGGCTCCACCACTGCAGATTAATGCCACCCTGACCATGGTATATATTTGCTTGACTGGGCTAAAAATTGTGTTGATACATGTTTTTCATGAAGATCACACAGCAAGTTTTGCAAAGCAGGTAGAAGTCGGAAACTATGTTTTAAGTTCGATTTCTGCAACCCCTATTTTTTGATTTTCTTTCATGCTTTTGTTTTTATTTTTATTTTTCTTCTGCTTATTTTTTCTTGGTGTGCTCGAAAGTGAAAGGCAACATCACTCTCTCTAACCTAAGGGTGGTTGGCAACTTGGCAAAGGCTGGGGATTAAATCCTTAGGTCTCAGGTTCAAAACTCTCTTGGGCCAATCTCCTGGGCATAGCGCAGTTGCTTAGGAAGTTAGCTTCAAGCAGCTTAATCGCATTTGGTGTAGGTTCAATTCTCCCCACTATGCAAGTCCTGACTTAAGAGGAAGTTGTCTTGGGAGATCGAGACAAGTTCCCGGGTTATAGTCTCTTAACTCAGAACGGACAATAGGACACCCTGGTAATCTATGCAAGAGGAAGCCCATGCCATAGAGTTAATTGCGGAAAACCGACCACTTCTGGGGAATGAAAAAGCTAGAAGGAAATAATGAGTGAAATTTGGAGGTTAAACAAAATGTTGGAATGGACTTGGCTCCAAAAGTCCAGGCTTAATTGGGCATTAAAAGGAGATAGGAACACAAGGTACTTCCACATTATGGCTTCTAATAGGAACAACAGAAATTCCTAGTGCTCAGTTATGGTGAATGACTCATTGGTGGAGGAACCTGTAGAGGTTAGGCATGTGGTGACGTCTCATTTCATGAATCTCTTCTCTGAAACCTAGGCTGCTAGGCCTAAACTATCTGGCCAATTCAAAAACATTGGAGGTCATCAAACAATGGAATTGTTGGAAGCAGATTTTACAGAGGAGGAAGTCAGAAATGTTATCAAGAATAGTGATGGTAATAAAGCACCTCAGCCCGATGGCTTTAATTTGACCTTTTATAAGAAATGCTAGAGAGTAGTCAAATCTGAGGTAATGCAATTTTTAAGAGAGTTTCACCAAAATGCCTCATTGGTGAGTGGTTTAAATAGCTCCTTTATAGCTCTAATCCCAAAAGTCGATAGCCCATCAAGCTTGAGGGATTATAGGCCCATAAGTCTCATTGGATCCTTGTACAAAATTTTGGCTAAAGTCTTAGCAAATAGGATGAAACAAGTGATGCCAAGGATTATTAGTGAGTCTCAATCCGCATTTCTTGGAGATAGGAATATCCTAGATAGAATCCTCATTGCCAATGAGATTGTTGATGGGTGGAGAAAATCGAACAAGAAAGGTTTGGTGTTGAAACTAGATTTTGAGAAGGCCTATGATTCAGTCAATTGGGAATTCTTATTTAATATGTTATCTAATTTTGGATTTGGTGATAGATGGGTGAGATGGATGAAAACTTGCGTAACCTCCACTAAAGTGTCAGTTTTAGTGAATGGTTCACCTACTGGGGAATTTTGTCCTCAGAGGGGTCTAAGGCAAGGTAACCCATTGCCTCCTTTCCTTTTCAATATTGTGGCTGAAGGGTTGAATATCTTGTTGGTAAGGGCTAAGGAAATGAGCTTGATAAAAGGGGCCACCATCAGGAATAATGGGTTAACAGTAACGCATCTGCAATTTGCAGATGATACAATATTGTTTTGCGAAGCTGAGTGGGTGGAAGTGGTGACCATCAAACGAATTTTGAGATGTTTTGAAATTTTCTCAGGGTTGAAAATTAATTACCATAAGAGTGTGATTGCTGGTATTGGAGTGGATGAAGTGTTGTTGCAGAGTTTTGCCTTTAGATTAAATTGTGCCCATCAGAGGCTACCTTTTAAGTATCTAGGTCTACTTCTAGGGGCTAATCCTGGTAGGTCAAGCACTTGGAAGCCAATCTTGGACAAGTTTAAACAGAAGTTATCTACATAGAAGAGAATGTTACTTTCGTTTGCTGGGAGGCCGACTCTAATCAAGTCCGCTATGAGTAACTTGCCTATTTACTACTTGTCATTGTTCAAAATACCAGTGGGGGTGGCAAAAGCGATTGATAATATTCAAGCAAACTTTCTTTGGAGGGGATCCGACCTTAGAAGGAAAGTCCACATGGTTAGCTGGGATACCATTACCAAGAGTAAACTTTTGGGAGGTCTGGGGATCAGAAGAATCATAGTTATGAATAAGTGCTTACTATTGAAATGGTGGTAGAGGTTTGGAGCAAAGCACCATACTCTGTGGAAAGATGTTCTATGCTCTAAGTATAATATGGGGGGTGGAAGATGGCTGCCATGTATGGAAGGAAGCAGCAGAAGCTCAAAAATTTGGTCTGATATCATTAGTGCAATTATATCTACTCATATGCTATTCAATTAGTACCTTGCAAACTCAGCAATTGAGTTGGGGAATGGTAGGAGAACCCTTTTTTGGCTAGATAAATGGGCTTGGGAGTTGAGCTTTAAAGAGGAATTCCCCAGACTTTTCTCTCTGTTTACTAATAAAATAGGAGTAGTGTCTGATTTTTACAACAGGAGTGGAGGGTTTCAGGTATGGAATTTGGAATTCAGGAGAACTCTATTGGCATGGAAAGAGGAGGAGGTTAGTAGAATTCATTCATTCTTTATGAATGCTCCAGCAATGAGGGTCACTAAACAAGATGCTTGGAAGTGGAAGGCTGATCCATCTGGGTTGTTTTCTGTTGCATCAATGTACAAAAGTTATGAACTCTCCTTGGGTCCTGTTAGGAAAATGGCAGAGGTGGTCTGGAATAATTGTGGCCCACCTAAAGTCAAATTTTTAGGGTGGTTGGCTTGGCAAGGCAAGGTGAAAACCTCTAGCTTCCTACAGCACATTGGGATCTTAGCTGCTTCTACCAATGTGGGTTGTGTTTTCTGTCAAGCTGAGGTGGAATCTGTTAATCATATCTTGTTATTCTGTCCTTTTGTCTAGCTGTTATGGTCTAACATTATAAAATGGTGGGGCTTTCAGTGGGCTATACCAAACTCAGTGAAAGGGCTACTGCAATGGTGGTCGCTTTGTAGAATGAAAAAGACTGAAAAGCTGCTGTGAAAGGTTGTGCCTTTGGCTGTTTTGTGGTCCACATGGAAGCATAGAAATGACTGTAATTTTAATGGTTCCCAGCCAAATTTTGAGGAACTAAGTGAAGTGGTCAAAGCAAAAATAGCTTTGTGGGCCAAATCCTCCCTAGCTAAAATGGAGTTCTCTGTTAATGATGTAGTCTTTAATTTGCCTTAGGTTCAATTCTGTATTAGGAATGAGAGCTGAGCTAACCATTTGTTAGTCTGTCTATTTGGCTGAGTAACTCATGGGGAAGTAGTACTCGCTGGAACCTGTTTAGAAGCCTGTGGGTAAACAGAGTATGGCTACTGTTGGTGTGTTTGTTGCTGATGGTTTGCTGCTAATGGATGTTTTGCTTCTTGGCTGCCCAGCTATGCTCAGACTCTGGCTTTGGAAGTGGTCTGTTGTGTTTGGTCTGCCTTATGCTGGTCCATAGGTTGGCTGATAGTTTTTTGATCTGTGCTACTGATGGGAGAGTGTGTTTTTGTGTTCTGTGTTGATCTAGTTTAGCTTATTTGTTTTGCATTAGAGAAGGTGATTGAGCTTGTGCAGGCCTAGTTTCTGAGGTCCAATATTATATTAGACATAGGAGTTGACTGAGCTTGATTTGCAAATCTTCATCTTCATCTTCATCTTCATCCTTTTGCTGTGAGTGGTTCTCTGGTATGTTGACTTGTTGGCTGCTTGTTCAGGTATTGGTGTAGGGGAAGAGAGTGTATACTAGGTATTGGAGTTATGTTGGCGTGCACAGATACTATAAGTTGTGTTGGAGTTGTGTTGGCGTGTGCAGATACTATAAAGGGACTGTATCCTACCTGTGAAGATATCTGTGAGCTCATTATAGTTAGAGTGGCCCCTTGGATAAAATATCACTCAATTGGGCAAGGTCCACAAATATGAGTTTGTGTCTATTTACATTAAGTTAGAAGCTGTATTTAGTGTGTCTGGTAGGCTTTTGTTCATTAGGATTGCTCTGTTGTCAATTTTGCCCTATTGCTGAACCTGGGTGGGTGGAATTGCAACTGTTTTGCCTCAGATTCTGTTTTGTCTTGCCCTGCTGTCTTTTTGGCTCTGCTGGTTCAGGTTCTATTTTTTTTGAATTATTTTTAGCTGATGTTTGGGCAGCCATATTGCTATGTTTGGTCTTCTCAGCAATCGACTGATATGGTCTGATTTGGAAGATGCAAAAAGAGATCCAGCTGTGTTGCTGTTTGGATTGAAAATACTTTCACTGATTTAGGTATTGCCCAAGAAACACCCCATCATCTGTTCTCTGCTATTAATACTGCTGGTTGATGCTAGATTGATATGCTCAGAATGCATTGAGTGGTAGCTATTCTTCCTTACAAAGCCAACCCAACACTCAGGTGGAGATGGAGAACGAAGGCGGTATGTCACTTTCATGCAACATTGATGGAAAGGATCTGAGTTGGGTTCCAAAAAGCCCTTCTTCTGGGCAGCTTTTAATGCAACTTGATCCTTGGATTAGTCCTTACAGTGCCACAGTTCGTGAAAGCATACTTCAAGGAATTACTGATGAAGCAAAGAGAACACCAGTAAGTAGTTAAACACTAGGGTCATCCACTAGTCATATCTCAATCAAAGCTTTCTCAACCAAAGATCAGTCAGGAATTTCATCTGGAGCTCGAGAATCTGTTGATAGTGAATTTTCATTGATTTTGTCTAATCATGGTGGAGTATTAGATAGTGAATTTAGTTATGCTATGCTATTGTCTGTTGTGCTTTGTTGGTTTGCTTTGCTACTGGTCTGCTATACTGGTTTGTTTTGATCTGTTTTGTTATTTTTGGCTGATATAGGTCTGTGTTGGTCTGCTTTGTTGGTCTGCATTGCTAGTGGGCTGCTTTGCTAGTTTGTGTTAATCTGTTTTGATATGTTTGCTCTGGCTACTCAGCTAGCAGCAGCAGTGGTTTAGTGGGTCTGATTGCTCAGTTGTGCTGTTGTTGCTGTGGTGTTTTGGTCTGTTTCTTTCGTTGGCTTCTCACCAACTCTAGGGGTGCTAACAAATGATAGAATGAGCTTTTTGGTGCCAACTTAGTTGGGATGATTTAGCTCATTGTGATTCTCTTGCACTTCCCCTTTCTTTATTGGTGTAATTTGTTTTGTATCTTGTACTTGATCCTTACATCAATAAAGTCTCTTTTTTGCCGACCAAAAAAAAAAAAAAATTCTATGCAAGGGGCACTGCCTTAGACCTGCGGGCAAGTGGAAAGATTTTCCTCTAAAAAAAACAAAAAAAAAAACATCACTCTCTTATCCCTCTCTATGGGGTCTGAGAAGTGGACATAACATGGGATTCTTTGGATTCTTGTTTCTGGTATGATTTGGCACGAATCTTCTTGTAACACCACACATTTTTTATAAATGAATAAGATATAGAGATGTGGCCCAATCATTCGCGGTGGATAAGAAATAAGAGAACCTCACAAATAGAATTTTTTCTTTTGTGAGTAGTCTTATCTTCTAATAAAATTATTGGGGGACAAAACTAATCCAAAAAAGTTCAGATTTAATTTTTATATAATAAAATTTACATTTAAAATAAATTTAAATTGAATATTATTTTTTGAATATATTTTAATAAATTTTATAAATTTCTAACTAATAGACTCATCATGTAACTCAATTATTTACCATGGGCGGGGTTTTAAGTAAATTTCAGAAATATATCTTTATAATTTAGCCTAAAATAAAAGTGTGTTCGAGTTCAGATTCAATGTCAGTTATTGTGAACGGGACACCTTCAAAGGAGTTCATTTGTTGCAAGATTTTTTGAGAATATGGTTAAAAACTGGTCTTATGATTTTTTTTTAAAATTATTTTTAAAAAAAATGTGATAGGTGATATGATCTAAAATAGGTTAAAAGTTGAAAAACAACCTAAGGTGGTGTTTGTTTTGAAGGATTGGGTCATGGGATTGGACTATTAGTCCCTCCGGACTAATAGTCCGTTGTTTGATTTAATTTTGTTTGCTTCGAACTAATAGTCCCTTCGGACTATTAGTCCCTCATATGACGGATTATTGTATCCTAGGGGTGGGATTATTTCCATGGGATCCCATAGGATTAATGTGTGAAATGTCCATTTTACCCTAATGCTATTACTTAATCAACAATTGGAAAAGGTAAAATAGTCTTTTGAACATTTATAAATTATTTTTTGGATTAATTACCTAAAAGTCCTATCTACATATTTTGTGGTAGCTTAGGTCCTATCTAAAAGTTTTTGAACCAATAAGTCCTATTTATAAATAAGAAGACATTTTTACCCTTCAATCCAAACAGTTAGCGGCAACCAAACCCTTCCCCCCTCGTTAATTATTACCACCAGTATTTTATTATTCCCCAACTCTCTCCTCCAACATTTGGTAGCACCTCCACTTCTACGTAATTACAAACAATCACGTGATTGAGAAAACACAAAAAATTTACTACATATAAGGCAAAAGGCAAAAGGCAGTTTTGATTGAGAGCACATATTATAATGCCGCTAAAAAATTTATAGAAAACACAAATAAATATACTAAGTGAATGAAGATACAATTTTGAAGGATGAAAAAAATTGAAAAATTTCTTAAAAGTGACAATATTTTTAGAAAAAAATTTGAGAAATTTATTAGTTTTTATAAACTGAAATTATTCTAATTGAGAACATTCTCAGTTTATAATATTCTCAATTTTAATCATGAAAAAAATTGAGAAATTTTTCAAAAATATCTAGTAAAATTGAGAAAATTTTCAATTTTTTTTTAATATTAAAACTGAGAATATTATCATTTTTTCAAAACTAAGAATGTTTTCAATTTTTAAAACAGAGAATGATTTCAATATATAATTATCAAAATTAAGAAATTTCTGATGAAGTGTGCCAGTAGTAGCATAAGCTAACAAAACCCTGCCGAAGATGAAGCTATTTTGTATCTCAAAAAACAAAAGACCCATAAATTTAGCAAAAAAAATGGAAAAGTGAAAGAAAAGATGAATAACCAAACCATGACAGAGCAAAGAAAAGAAAAAGAGTAGTAATATTTGAGGAGGAGAGAAGGATGTTGGTTTGGTGGTTACCAGATGGGAACAGAGGATGAGTTTGGAAGCATGAGTTTGGTGGTTACCAGATGGGAACAGAGTAGTAATATTTATAATATTCTCTCTCTCTCTCTTCCCTGAATTCTCTTGTGTGTTCATTTAAAGAGCACACCAAATGAAGAATCAGAGCTCGTGATTGATTGAGGTGTTCTGCAACTCCTGTTGACTCCGCGAAAGCAACGACGATCTTCGATTCACCTCCATTGGACTCGTGCTTCTTCCACCTTTGTTGAACCTCGAAAGCTTCGCGATTGGGATAGCAACAGGGACAACTGGTACGCATTCGGAAACCGAAATGATTGAAGAGGTGCGAATGGAGATGGAATCGACGTCCAGTGGATCGACCTTGGGGACCTGGTAGGGCACAGAAGGGCCGTCGTACTCAGTCGCGATGGAGTAATCGAGCTGTTCTTCGTTAGGCAATGGAGCTCCGGCAGGTAACATCTTCCTCAGAACTTCTTCCCACCTCTTCGCGTGCTCTCGGCTAAGAGAGAGAGAGAGAGAGACAGAGAGAGAGAGAGACAGAGAGTGAATGAAGTACAACAATGGATGTTTGGCAGCTATGGAGGAGGTCTTGGAAGGGTAAATTAGTCTATTAAAAATTAATTGGACTTGAAGGAGCAAATAATTTTATCTAGGATTTAATGGATTATAAGTTCACAAAATGGAACTTGTATGTAAATGTCTTTTTTGTAAAATATATTTATATATATTGTATATATAATTGTATAATCAAAATTTCAATTATAACTTTAGTCTTATACGCA